TGATGATGAAACTGTTCTATATTTGCACTGGCCAGCACAGTAGCCACCAGCCACATGTGACAATGGCCACTTAAATGTGGCAAGAGCAACTGAGGACTCAGTTTTTCATTGTACTTGATACTCACTAACTCAAATAGCTATATCAGCTTAGTGGCTGCTGTACTGAATAGCACAGCCATAAGCCTAAGAAAAGCCCAGCAGACCCAGAGCATCTGCCTCTTTCCCACTTTCATTCTTCTCATTTCCCTGTGCTTCCCACTGCCTTTCCGCAGCAGGGTCATTGTGCTTTGAGGCAAGGGCATGAATGAGATGACCTCCCTAGGCATCCCCTGAGTTCTAAGTTGCCCCAGAATATTCTGTACTACAGAAATGCTTCTAGACCATTTCTCCCGGCTGCTTGGGCAGATTCATGCTTCTGCCCATGAATCTTGGGCAGATTCACTCACTCATTTAAAGGTTATCGATTGACTGCATCCACTGGAGAGACAAAGATAAATAACAAAGCTCCGCCCTTAAGAACATGGCTGTTTAAATTCCAGAGAAGGCTCTAGGATGAGAGCCAGAGGAAACCCAGCTCCCCTTTTCATTCCTTATAGGGAGACTCTGGGCACCCCATCTTGTCCTCTAGCTGGAAAAGAGACTGGACAATCTCTCCATGGAGGTGCCCTGACAGAGCCCTGTACTCTTCCTGAGCTGTATATTCTAAGCCTCAGTTCCTTCTGCTGCTGTAAATCAAGTCACAATATCTGAGCCACCTAGTTTTCTGTTTGATTATGAGGTCAAGGTAGAGCAAGAAACAAACACCAGCCCAGGACCAGGTTTTTAATGATTCCAGAGCAGGAAGACCAAGAGCTGTGGAGTGGAAGGTTAGATTTCAGGGAACAGCTGCTCCCCACCTGGACCCATCCATTGCTATGGGAATGGAAGCAAGGTAGGTTGGAATGCTTGCAGCTGCTGGTAATGCATCTGAGCCCCACAAGAGAAGAGCAGCAACCACAGGCAGGTTTGGAGAAGGTGATTGATCTGGGATAGGGTGTGTGCACTTGGCAGTTGTGCTGCCTGCAACACCACCTACCCTGGGACCTTCTGGGTCCACAGCAGCTGCCCTGTCCCTTGTGTTTGCAGGAACATGGAAAACAACACAGTCCTCAGGGGCTCATGTCATAGAGAGAGGGCAGTGTGCCTCAGTGGGTGCTGCTGTCCACAGTGAGAGGGGAACTGAGCTGGGCACCTTGATGTGCTGGGGGTAGGGGCATTGGATACCTGGACAGAAGGACTGGCTAAAAGCCATAGTAGACTCAGAACCATTGATATCATAATATCCAGATAATGTAACAGCTGCCTCCCCGCTTAGTAACTGGATAAGATCATGGAATCAAAGGGAACCTGCACAACTTTCAGGAGGAAGAAAAGATTCCACAATTCCCATCCTCTGTGGTACCCTCTCAAAATGACATCTGGAGGCAGGGATATCTGGAATGTATTTCTCTTTCTTCCTGGATCATTTTCTATACAAATGAGCATTGTTTCCCTTTCCACCACCTCCCTCAGCTGCCTTCTTCATTCTCCCCACACAATCCTCCCCATTTGTCCATCTTCCTTACCCTTTAAGTGCGGTGCTGGAGATTCACAAATTGAGGGAAAGAATTGGACTGATTATCAGAGAAGAAGGACAGAGCAACACTCAAATTCCGATTTTAAACTTGTTAGCAGTCCCTAGAAATAAATCCAGGTTGTGTGGAAGTTGGTCTCTCACGTCACCTACTGGCCACCAGCGGGTATTGACCTGCTTGTGAAACAGGTTCCACTGCTCACTATCACATTGCTTTGCGGCTGTTTAGAGGCAGAGCAATCTTCGCCAAGAAGTCCTCCTTTGTAGCTCACCAAACTCCCTTCCCAAACCTCAGTTCATCTTCTCGTGGTGAGATAGCTCAGAAGCAGCTAGCCTATTTTTGCCCTTTTATTTTTCCTAAAATTTAAACTCTTCTAAAATTGAAAGCCTGTTTATGATTACAAAGTAGCTGAGTATGGTTAGCTGGCTCTGGCATCCCAGCTCTAGACTAGCTTTCCAGCTCTTTGATATTTATGGCTTTGCATTGGCCTCCCTCCAAGTTTCTACTGTCTCTCTGGAGCCTACAGGTGACCACGAGACCCTGATTAGTATCTTTGATACTTGACTCTCCTGCTACCTAAGTAATGTGTCCCATGTGTCACTGAAAGCTGGGAGCTACATCAGACCTTTAAGGCTCCCTTCAGGAACAACCAGAGGCTGCAAACTCTGGGATGCCCTCAGGATCCCTCACCTTGGTGAGGCCATGGGCTAACAAAAGTGTTTTCAGTTCTTTAAAGAAAAATGCCAGATTCTGCATTTTGCCTCCTGGTGTCACCAGGATTCTGCTTAGCCCCAGAGCACACCTTGAAACAATTTCGAAGAAAATACTAAGAAAGTTCAAAGTAAATTTTGCTCCAGGATTTATTGAACAGCAGCCCCAAGCTCCTCTCAGGAAGGTGATTTGATTCAAGGTTAAGGATGGCTCAAGACACTCTTTAGATAAAGTCCTAAAAGTGCAATCTTGATTTAGTGAAGGCTGCGGGTACCGTGAATCCATGTCCAGCAAGGCCAAAGATGGAGAATTAAGCTAAACAGTGACATCTTCTAACCAAAGGAACAGAGTTGTCCCTCCCCACAAAAGTAGATAGGATAGGATGGTACCCTCATCTTTAAGAACCAGAGAGCACACCACTGAGATAGACTTGTGGACTTGCTTCTGCTTAGACACAGTGGAATGGACTAAATACCCCTTGAAAGACTTCTGGAAGCTGGTTCATCCAGCTACAGGAGGGACCCAGCTTCCAGGGCTCTTTCCTTAAAAAGATGATTCCCAGAAGTCCAACTCCTGGTGACCATTTGCTGACTTTCCAAGGTGAGCTAGAGCAGACTGATGCTCAAACACTGGCTAGCAGCCAGCCCACATTTACTTTATCTGCTTACAGTTTGGACTGGAGAAGAATCCTGGCCGTGGACCCCAAGACTGCCCTTTCAATGGCACCCTCCCTTACTCCCCCCACCAAAAAAAATCCTACAGTTTTCTACTATTTTTTGATGTCTCCAGTGCCTGATGGTGCCCAAGGGGCCTGAACAAAGTCCCTCAGAGTCACTTGGTGAGATGGCCCAGCCACTCTCCTATATCATGGTTAACTCTCCCTCCACTCTCACCCTAGGACCAAGTCCCAGGTTGGGGCCTGTTAACAGATGATGGAGGACCTAGACTTTGCATTTCCACAGAGTGCCCAAACCCGTTGTGCTCCCCCCTACCTAACCTGCTCCATAATCAAGGACACTTGGTTTACCACAAGACACGACTCTTTTAATCCCTAGAACCTGCATTCTGTCTCTAGACATACTGGCCTGGGGACTAGGTTGTGATAACATGGAGTCAGGGTGCTGGGAAAGAGGAGTAGGGAGCCAATGGGTGAACAGGGCCCTTGTGCTGAGCTTGGTTCTGGGAGAGTCTTCTGCAGCCTCGCTCTGTGCTTTCTCTCCGTTTTCCTCCTCCACAGTAATTATGTCCCTTCCTCTCCTGTGACTAAATACCCACGTCAGCTAACCACCAGGATCACCACAGACCCATGGAGGTTTCTTCAAGGTGGGCCCTTCCCTGCCAGCACTGTATTAAGGACCAACACCTGGTTCATTAAACTTGACAAATCAGAGAGAAGCAAGTGGGAGCTTCCTGCCACCTGTTTCCTTGCCAGATTAAGCCAGATCTCCAAACGCTTCCCCTGAGGTATACCTTTCTCTAGTTGGAGAGCTTAGAAGTCCAGGTTCATCTGCACAGGCGACATACAATTGCCTCTTCCCCAGAGCTCCTCTTTTTTTGCAAAACCCCCTCCTCCCAACTTCTTTGAATTCTTCTCCCATCTTCAGTTACCCATCCCAGATGCCTGGCTATCAGCATTCCTGAGTATCCAGGAATAATGGAATGAGATTTTTCCCCTACCCTTAGTTGTTTGGGGTCATTCACATTTGTCTCCTTTTCTGAATATTTGAAAAGAGGGCAATGAGGTTAGGGCCTCCTGCCTCCACCTCACCAGGGTCATCCTGTCTACACCCTGCCCACCTGCAAACAGCAATTTCAGGTCTCTCACCTGGGTCTGCTACTGAGGCTAGAGGTCAGGGAGCTGAGAAGAGAAAGTGTGTGCCCATGAGGGGAGAATTTACTGAAAATCTGTGGACTGAGATCAGCCAGGCAAGTAGAATTAACTGACCAACAAATACATGAACAAAGTCGTACTTCTGTAAAGGTCATAAGTCAGCTAAGTATAGACTGTCACCAAGTCTCTCCTATATATAACTGCTGTGGCTGCAGCCAGCTGTCAGCTTCTCTCAGACTGGAGCTGAGTAATGTTCCAGCCTCCCAGGGCCCAGAGCATGAAGCCAGTTCTGAGCTGAAGCATGGAGCAAGGCCTCTGGATGCCACATGGCCCCACGCCATTCCACGGGGGCCCATGTTTCAGGCTCTTCCTTCTCCCAGGTCGACATCACCTACTCCTAATGATGCTATCTGCTGCCCTGCTGCTTCCGCCCCTGGCTCCCCAGGTCCAAATGCCTCTCAGTGCCCAACAGTTCTAAAAGTATGAAGATCTCACCAAGGGCACAGACTTGGTCATTTATGCCCAGCTGTCTTGTTTTCCTTCGTCTGCCCGGATGTCTGGATCCTTACATCTCAAACCACCCTCCAAACACTAGCCCATGTACAGACAAGTGTCGTGTCTTGGCGAGACTTTGTTAAGATTCCCCTTCTCCATGAAGTCTTCTGGTCTCACCTCGCAGATATCCTCAGGCAGAAACTCCTCCCTACTTAATGGGCACTGCTGCTGCTTCTCTCCCTGAGTCCTCCAGTCTTCTGAGCTGCAGGAGACCCGCATCTACCTCAGCCTTTGTTACTCCCCTCACCCCAGACCTCTGAGACTGAACCTCCAGTCCCTTCTCCCTGCAGAGAGAGACTCCAGTGAGCATGAGGAGCCGACTACCTCTGAGGTGACCGAGGAGACCTACTCCCCCAAGATCTTCCGACCCAAGCACACTCGCATCTCCGAGCTGAAGGCTGAGGCTGTGAAGAAGGACCGCAGGAAGAAGATGACCCAATCCAAGTTTGTGGGGGGAGCCGAGAACACTGCCCACCCTCGGGTCACTTCTACATCGGAGATGAGACAGGAATCTGAGCAGGTGAGTCTCAGGGTTTGTCTGCACCCCTCTCCCTCTGCCACCATGCCAACATTTGACCTTTCCCTGCATCTATGTGGGTGTCTGTGGCAACACGAGATACGTAGGCTAGATTTAACAAGAACTGATTGCGTACTATGTAGCTCAGTCTAGAATTTGGGAGGATAATTTTTGGAGCTTGCATTTATCAGGACTGAAAGTTGTCCAGGGGAGTGAGAATAAAAGTGAGAGTCACTCAAGAAAAGTGTCTGCCAGCATAGTGACTATCTGCCAGGTATCTGACCCTGGAGCTGTGTCCAGTCCAGGTGGAGACTGAACATTCTCCTAGAGCAACCAGAAACAGCAATCTTTGAGTGGAATTGCTCAGCTGGATTGAACAGCTGCAGAAGGGAGGCCTACAAGACAGGGAAAATAAGACTCCATACCAGCCAAATGTAGACCTGTAATACTCCCCAGTGACGTGGGAGGGAGGAAAAGTCTTTGAAAGCAGCTGATTAGAACTAAAAATGGTGACTTTGGACCCCACACCTGGACTGTATGTCTGTGCATCAGGGTGATTTCCTCTTGGGTTCTGCCATGCCTCTCATTCCTCCTGTCCTCATAGGGCCCCTGCCGCAGACACATGGAAGCTTCCCTGCAGGAGCTCAAGGCCAGCCCACGCATGGTGCCCCGTGCCGTGTACCTGCCCAACTGTGACCGCAAAGGATTCTATAAGAGAAAGCAGGTACATTCAGCTGTGCAGGCTCCAAGGCTCAGACACATCCTGGCAACTGCCAGGAAACCTGATTCACACAAATGGCCAAGATCTCTGCTGTTAATGATTTAGGATCTCCTGAACCTCTAAGATCTATTCATATACTGAAGTCATGATTTTCCTTATTCCCTCCTCTGTTCTAAATCTCTGCTTTTCACAAATCCACCCTTATCTACATGAATTCATTGAAGGGGGAAACTTTGTAACATTTCCTCAGATCACATATCGCCTGTGTTCCTTAAATTCCTTTCTGCCTTTCTGCTAAACACACACACACACACACACACACACACACACACACACACACACACACAGGGCTCTAAAACCTTTTTCCTCTGTGCACCATTTAAAATCATTTTGTGTAACCAGAAGTGCTTAGGCATTGGGTGATGGTTCCCAAGCTTCCATGGTCACAGAACAGCCCCCAAGTCTCCTTAAAGTACCGGTGCTGGGCCTTTCCCCTAAGGTTTTTTATAGATCACTCTGGGTGGACTCTGAGGGTTTTGCAATTTCTAAAGTTCACAGAAGACCCTGATGTTACCTAAAGGGAACCCCTATTGGGGTCCATCTCAGCTGGGCCACTTGCTAGCTGTGTCCTTTGGGCTCAGTTGAAAGTCTCTCTGCCTCCTGCTCTGCACAGGGTGGGGACACTAGAAGTCCACGCAGCACCCAGTTGTGACAATTATTCCCTATAGAGCACTCTGAACAGCTCCTGCCATGTGGCAAGGGCTAAACAGTGCCTGGCACGGGATCCAGGAGCTAGCGGTGCCTCCCTTTGTGACAACTGCCACTACCATGTTTAAGAGATCAGCCTCCTCCCCTGAACATCCCTGGAGAATCCCAGGCTGGAAGACCCAAAATGGGCCACATAAAATAGAGGTAGCTAAGGGCAGTGTGCCTAAAGTAGTGTTTTTCTCTGGGGCCGCCAGGACTGTAAGGATATAAGCACGGCCCCCTTATCACCCTGGGGATGATAGCTTGGGGTCAGGAAGAGGCAGGGCAGACAGGGACAGAGCCTTGGGTTCAGCATCCTCACTATCTCTTGTTCCCCTACACTTCAGTGCAAGCCTTCCCGTGGCCGCAAACGTGGCATCTGCTGGTGTGTGGACAAGTATGGGATGAAGCTGCCAGGCATGGAGTACGTCGACGGGGATTTTCAGTGCCACACCTTCGACAGCAGCAACATTGAGTGATGCGTCCCCTTCCCCCGTCCTTTCCCCCCAACTCCCACCCCCAATTCCAGCCATCGCCTCCCTCTACCCCAGGACGCCACTCATTTCATCTCATTTAAGGGAAAATATATATGATATATATTTGAGGAAACTGAGGACCTCGGAATCTCTAGCAAGGGTTCAACTTTGAAAATGACAACAACAGAGGGGCAGACAGATAAGGAGACACCCCTCCTCCCCTTGAAAGTGTTTTTTTGTTTTTTGTTTTTTTTTTTTTGAGGCAAGTTGAATGAACAGAGACAAGAAAAGATGAACAGCAGGAGGGAGAGAAGGGAAGAAAGTGTGTAGAAGAGAGGGAACAATAGACAGGGTTACAAAATGGAAGAGAGGAGTGTGGACGAGAAGGAAAGGCCACAGGACCAGGCCTGGGTCTGCCATTGGAGTCCAGCCCTGGCCTAGGCCAGCGAGAGGTTGGGGTCCTAGGCCTGAGATGTGGTGTTTGATGACACCCTTGGGTTTTCTTCGTTTGGATTGGTCAAGAGGAGAAAGGAAGAGATAAGATGTGTCAGTGCCTCTCTCTTGGGTCTGGCTCTTCTTCCCATCACAGAATGGACAGCTTGACCCCTACCCTTTCTCCCCTTACCCCAGTAGGCTTATTTCTCCCTCAGAGTTATGAAGACTAAAATGCATTCCATTCCTCTGAAAATAAGGTAAATTCATAATCGAGTGAAATTAGGTAGGTTTTCCCAAGAAGACCCATAAATATTGAACATATATGCACATTTCACTCCTTTTGCATATTCTTAGACATTAACACACCCCCATATTAGAAGCCCCCATGTTCTTCCCGGTGACCTGAAGCATTACTTTAGCCCCTCATATCATTCAACTTCCAATGAGTGCAGCAGCCATTGTGGAAGAGGATAGGCTGAAAAAAACAAACAAACAAGAAAAGGGGACTTGTATCTTTCTACAAGTCTCCCTACATAGGCATATAAATCTTTTCTTTCTGTCTGTCTTCTTTCTTCCTTGCTCTCTTTCAAAAGTTTGCATTACCTCTTCAAAGTAGTTCCTATGGGGGCACGGAGGAGCTTCCTCATTCTGGGAAAACCCATATTCTCTACTAGAACTCATAACACAAGCTCTGCCTGCCTCTAGTCCAGGCCTTCCCATGAGTTGACTCAGCTCTTGTGGGCACAGTGATGGATTTTTAATAATTTCCCATGTGCATTCACATATGCCCACCAAGCTGGGTGTTCTGCCAGCACTTGGCGGTATGTGCACCGCTCTGCCTAGTCTATCCCATTTCCTCAAACCCTCAGAAAGTAACCGCTGCTGGGTACTACACCATTCGAGCCCAACAGGTCCAAGTTTGACCCACTGGTCCTGCCCCAGCCTGTTGGCTTTCATCTGGACAGCCCTGCATTTTGCAGAGCAGGAGAGAGTCTGACGTGAGAGATGGCAAAGAGGGAGATGGTGGGGAAAAGGTTTCAAAAAAGGAAATCAGTCGATGGAGTGGCAGGACGGAGGGCCAGAGGAACAGAAAAGCAACAGAGAGAAGGGAAAGCCAATAGAACTTTCCTTAGCTTCCCTCTTCTATAAACCCTCTGGGATTCAAGAGGAAGGAAAGCGGAAAATGGGGAACTGGTTGTAAGATAGAACAGAGCTCAACCCAGGCCACAGAGCCAGGGAATGTGAAAATTTTTAGGTGGATTCTAGACTTGAGGTGCTGGGTGGGAACAAGAAGCAGTAGACTGCCATTCATTCAAAGGGAGAAGATGATGTGCTCACCTTCAGCCCACTGTGAAGGGCTGAAGCCAAAGGGTCTTTCAAGTTCTTCATCCATTCTGGCCAGTCCATGCTTCCTCCCTGGGGTGGAGGAGGGAGGAAGGCCCAGGATAACCCAGGAACAGATGATTTCAAGAATGCTGTCACTTGGCAGCCAGAGTCTGATCCAAAAAATATCCCACTCTCTGCTGACTTCCTCAACCCAGGGCTGACCTTAGGATTGCCCTCTAAGACTGAAGATAGCCTGCCGGGAAAGGGGACTTGGACACAGGGCAAGGACACCCTTTCTTGCTGTGGACATACCTCTTTCCACTCTTTCTTGATGGCATGATACAGTGGAGACCAACTCCAACACCAAACTTGGGGCCACGAAGAGGGACAGCAAAACAGCAAATGTACTTCAAGGAATGGAAACGCATTGCTATGACACCCGGGAGTGTCACCTTCTGCCCCAGACATCTATGGCTGTACAGTTGGCTGGGGATGGGAGAGGTGGTTGATCTTCATGAGACAAAGGTCCTGATGGTGATGAAGCAGGAAGGACTCACTGGACCTGTGGGCCAGTGCTATCCAGCTCTGCACAAATGTTCCCAAGCCCCCAACTCACACTTCTCTGTGTCTTAGGCCAGTATCCTAAATCTTCCTTCTGCTACTCTTCTTTTGCATCTTGAGCAGTCATCTAACTGGGAGCTGCCAAGTGGATGCTGGGGTGCCATTCCCCTAAGAAAAGACTGAGCCAGGAACTGCCTACCCTCCACTCCTCCAGGCCTGGACCTGATCCCTAAGAAGGGCTCTCTCTTTCCCCCCACTGTTTGCTGGACCTTGACCTGGCCTCAGCACTTACATGGGGCTCTTTGCTGTCAGCCACAGGTGGAAGATGGTGGTCTGGTTCAACCTGCTGCCAGACTCTTCAGGCTTCCCAAGTTCATGTCTACTAACCCAAAGTTGTGCATCGCTCCGTTTGCAGAAGGTGTATCTTGGCAGCTGGCCTCTCCCAGAGAAAACTGGACCTTTTTTGACAGATGGGACTAAACCTCCCAAATGAGAGGTCTGACTGAGCCCAGGATAGGGAGACAGTGGGAGGGGAATTGTGGAAAGAATAGAAGCCATCTTCCCCTTGGCAGCAGGGAGAGAAAGTGGGCTTGCAATGGTGTGAGCATTGCAGTGGTGTGAAGTCATGAGTGGGGAACTTATTGGCTCCAGTTGGGCCTTTGGCCAACTTTCAGCTCTTCTAGAGGCCTCAGACTGAGGGCATCTACAGCTGTACCTGCCCCTACCCCTACCCCCATGGGAGGTCTCCCCTCACCCCTTTTGACTTATGCCTCACTCTGCAGTAGAAAAGATACCTCTGTCTTCCCCGACTACTGCCAGGTAATGGAGGGAGGCCCAGCTAGGACTGATCCTCCTCCCCCAGCACCCCCTGACCTGCCAGTCAAATCAGGGCACCTGGAAGGGAGAGATTCACATGTTTCTCTGACAGCCAGGCCTAGACAAACAGGCCTGGGGACATCAGCCCCATATGAGAGAGGAAGGGAGGCCTGGGAGGCCTCTGTGGTCACCTCTCTTCTCCCCTCGCCCCCTCTTCTTATCACCTCTGTCTCCATGGTAACCCTGTGGGCTACCCTCCTCCTACCACCAGGTCTTCTGCAACACAGGGGCTGCCATGGCAACTGCCATGCTCCTCCCTGTGGTGAGGCCACACCCCCTCTCCATCTATCAACTCAGAACCCAAGAGGGCTCCAGTTCCAAATGTGGTCTTGAGAGGGGAGTGGGCCGGAGAGAACAGACCCTTTAGTCTCAGAGAGGAACCTCTGAGTTCTGAGAGAAAGGAGGCTGTTTTGAGACAAGGAAATGAAAAGGATTTCATCAACCAGCAACCTGAGTGTTGTACTGTCTTTATTTTTAAAACCACTAAAGTGCAAGAATTAGTTTGCACCATTTCTCCACTTGTTTCTTGTTTTTTTTCTTTAGGTTATACTTCCTTTTTTAAAACATACTTTCTTGGTTTTCTAATGGAGTATATAGTTTAGCCATTTCACAGACTCTGGCCTCTTTTCCTTAAATCCTTCCGGATGGGGAAAGGGAAGGTGGGAGGGACAGAGGGGAAGGGGACTCCAGCCACCCCGCTCCCGTTTACCCTACTTCTCTGCTCCCTGGTCACCAGCCTCAGCCCTATCTCCAGCACCCACCACCGTCTCACAGTAGCCCACATGGATAGCACAGTTGTCAGACAAGATTCCTTCAGATTCCGAGTTGCCTACTGATTGTTTTTGGTTTTGTTTTTTTTTAAGACAGCAATAACCACCTCACATATTACTGTAGTTCTTTATTAGTGTTACATACGGGCACACCATAGCTCTCTGTTCTCTCCTCTTTTTTTTGTTTTCAACTAAAAAAAATAAATGCTCATCTTTACTGGTGAAAAGGATGGAAAAATAAACCAACAAACAAAGCAATTTGTGAAAAAAAAAAAAGCGGGAAAAAATCACCTGAATGCGGAAGAGCTCTGCTCCTGTTTAGTATTTTGTACTTAAGAAAATAAAAATAAAAAAAAAACCCAGAAGATCTCACGTTTTATTAAAAAGTGAAGATTGCTGTATACTATTTATTCAACTTATAATTTATGTTACTCCTTGATCTTTGTCTTTTGTCATGACAAAGCATTTATTTAATAAAGTTATGCATTCAGTCAGCCTGCGTGGGCTTCCTCGGGGGACTCAGGGAAGATAGGTAGGGGGCAAGGTGACTCTCCTCAGGCCACAAACCAGAGGGGAGGGGGAAAGGACCCAGGTGAGGTTAGAGCCCAGGGTTTCTCTCCCTCCAGAGGCAAAAGGAAATGGCCCCTCCTCACAGAGAGCTGTCCACCAGGGCCAGGGCACCCCTTTCCATTCATGCAAACATGCCACTTCCTTGACTTTGATCCCTCTGTACCTCCTTTCTGGAGGGCACAGCCTTGCATGGCTACTGTTGAATAAATGGACTCAAAGTTCTTGGAAATTTGAACACATATCCAGTATTCCACCACTGTTATGACCATTACTATTATTACTGTCATCTCATTTCAGCTGTTGCTATTAAATAAAGTGGTTTTCATCCACCCCTCAACACATGAGTCTCTTCCCCTCAGACAGGAGGTTACCAAAGGCATTTCTAGAATGTTCCCCAATTGCCTATTCCAGTGCCTTGGAAGCTCTTCATCCCTGGGAAGCACCAGCCAGGGTGGATTCTACCTCCAGCTCGTTTGTGCCCAATGAAGAGAAAGCTACAAAGTGGCCCTTGGCCTTCAACCACATCCTCCTACCTTTTGCCTCAGTCTCTCTGTGGCTGTCCTTCTTCCTCAGCCCTTTCTTTCCTGGGCTTCTCTCTGGGTTCTTTGTGGTTCTTCTTCATTCACAGAGTCCAGGGCAGAAATCCTGCCCTGTAAGCATCCCAGTGATGGTACCCCGCAGGCCTCCCAGGCCACCAGCACACTGGGAAGATGCAGGTGGTAACATTTCCACTCTGCCCAGCTCAACAATGAAGCACTCAGGGGCCCTGGGGTCCTGCTCTGCCTGAGTCACGTGGCGAGTGAAGTCATGAGGCACCCCTGCCTTGCTAAGGGTTTTGGCCCTTCTCCAGACACATGTTCTTCTAGGTTGCTGAAACTCTTTTCCAGGTTCCCTCAAGTTCAGAGGAACTGGTTCAGTCCAAGAGGCCCATGCATGTGTTCTGGATGCCCAGTCACCCAGCCTCTGCCTTCAGCACCTAGCAGTGAAGGTAAAGACAGGGAATGAGACCTGCAGTAGGATATGCATAGACGGGACACAGTCAGGGCACAGGAAAAGGAACCCATGAAAGGCTCACCATACCATGCCCGTGGACCGTCTCTGGTGTCTCCACTGGGGATCCTCTACTAGCCCTTGCCTACACATACCTGGAGGGGCTGTGAAGGATTCTTCTCCTGGAGGCTCCTCTATGGGGCTCATCAATCTCCAGGCCTCACAGCCCTAGCCCACCCTCCCATTGCCCCATTTACTTCATGTTTCCTACCTTCATTACCCTCATCCACAGACTCTAGCACACATCCCACAGCCATTTAGCAATCTGCCTCAGGTACTCCACCCCTCACCCATCACCACACAACTCCTGGTCAGGGGACAGCTAGGCACCTTGGGGGTCACAGGATCTTCCTGGGGCCTGGGATCCCACTTTCTCCCACCCCTGCATGTGGTGTCTGGTCTGAGGCCAACGGCCCTGTTTACACTCCTCAGCTCTCTAGGCTTAGAGAATACTCTGAGCCTTGGGACCCTGTGGGTTCCACATCCAAAAATCTGAAAATCCCACTCCCTATTCCACTCACATTCTACTATTGCAGCAAGAAAAATGGGGCAGAACATTCCAAAGTCAGCGCATTACCTAACAGAGATGAGTCTTTGGTCTCCTCCATTTTATATCTCAACCCATCAGCCCTCCCACAGCTCTGCCCTCGACTCTCCTTGTCTGGGGCTCAACTGCCTGGCAGCACCTCGGGCTTGGAGAAGCCTCTCTTCCATCATGGTCTCTCCTGCCTAGCACTGCTGAGCCCTTCCAAGCAAAATTTCTGTGGGACAGCATCACAGATCACCCAGGCCCTGTAGACCAGGAAACACATTCCAGGGCCCTTAACTAGATTACCTCCTTCCAACATCGCTACTCCATCTCCCCATCTTTTTCTGCACTGGGGAGGAAAGGGATGACAGAAGGGGGCAAAGGTGACCAGTAGCTTCTAGTACAAGTGATGAGTCAATCATAAACTGGACATCTGGACAGGGATGGGAAAAAGACAAGGACATCTTCTCCACCCAGTGTCCCCCCCAAAAAAACTCAAAATTGTCCACAGATGAACTTATCCTGTAGGCTCAGGTACTTCGCCTCTCTTGTCATTGTATCGTACACCTTACAAAGTTCATGCTAAACAACAGCAAAATTTGAACTTGACATCTTCCCCCAAACCATCCCTCTTCCTTTTATTTCCCCTTTCTTCCTCCTACCCCATTTCTCCTCCTGTCTCAGACAATGGCTCCATCTATTGGACTGAGTTGTCCAAGCAAACCCAGGCATCAGTTATGACTCCTCTCTTAACCCCACATCAGTAAGCCACCAAATCCCTGGAGTCAGAGCCTTACTGACATTCGTCCAACCTGACACGATCAGGTCTTGCTCACGTCTCAATGGACCCCACATCCTCCTGCTGGGACACTCCACTTCACCCCTCATCTTTGTACAGTGTTCTCTATAAGTGCTTCACCATGGCTGCCACCATTCTGACTAACGTCCTTCCTTACTTTAAGTTTCCATTTCCTACATGATGCATCACCAGTCATAAATAAAACCAGCATGCAAGCAAGGCTTGTCTGTATAAGGAATGGATCACAAATAATGACCCCTGAGTAGCTGCCCATGCAGCCAATACAATCCTTCTGCACCAGCCACCCACTATATAACCAAGCCCCTTCCACCCAGCTCTCTCTGTCTCCTTTTCTCCTCCCTTCAGAGCAGGCCACATGGCACAGCGGCTCTACAATAAAATCTCTCGAAGGGTGGAGTGATCTTTGGCAGGCACCAGTTTCTTTCATTCTCCATACTAGAAATAGATAAAAGGAAGATAGATAGATATAGATAGATAGATAGAGAGATGACAGTGTGTGCGTGTGTGTGTATGTGAGACAGAGAGAGAGACAGAGAGAGAGAGAGAGAGAGAGAGAGAGAGAGAGAGATGGTGGCACTGGAAATTGAATCCAGGGCCTCATGCATGTTAAGCAAGTGCTCTACCACTTAGCTATATCCTGTTTTTATTTTCTATTTTATTTTATTTTATGTTGAAATAGAATCTAGCTAAACTGTCCAGGTTGGCCTCTAAATTATGATCCTAGCCACTCAAGTAGCTAGGATTACAGGGATGTGCCATGACACCCTACATGGTTACAGTTCACTTTGTAAACTCAAACCCAATTGTGCCCATCCTCGGCCTAAATTAAATTCCTTCCCCCCTAAATTTCTTTTGGGAGACCTGGGTACCTTGATGCAGAGTTGAAGTTCTTGCTGAAGGGTTTCTTTCTGGCTTCCTCTTCAACTACATCTCACTTCCTGCCGTAACAGCATGCGGGTCTCCCTGTCTACCTCAGGACTGAAGGTGTGCACATGCACCCTCTGTCTGAACCCTGTCACCGCCTACGCACACACACCTCAGCCTTTCTCCTCATCTTGACCTTGACCTCACACATCTGCCTTCACACCCCAGAATGCCTTGTAATTGCCCCAAAGTGCTGCCTGGAGGACGTGGTTCCTTTCCTGTGTAGCTCATCCTCCCGGGGAATATCAGCCTTGAAGGACAAAGGCCTTGATCCTTTTCATCTCTGCATCCAAATACCTGTCACAAAGCTCAGGACAGTGAAAATTACATTTCAGCCACATTAAGTACACGACAGAAATAATTTCATATTCACAAGGCAATTGTTTCAGATACAAATTATCCCACTGCTTAAAGATGAGGCCAATGAGATTTATAGAGGTTATAAATGTGTCAAAGTCACAGAACTCTCCAGTCGTAAATTTCAGACATACTTAACAGATCAAGTGACTACAGCAGGATTCCCTGCAACCAGAGTGTGTAAGAAGAGGACCACCTTCCTGGTCATGTCCCAGTGTAGCCACACAGAACACCAGGCTTGTTGTAATGCTTCGTGTCTTCATCTAGAAATTCTCATGATTTCTGAACAAGGGGATCTGTATTTTTATTTTGCTCTGGCCCTTTGCATCAAGTCACCAGCCCTACACAAGAATCCCACGGGAGGTATATGTAAATGAAGATTTGGTATGTTTCTTAAGAGGCAGTCCCTGTGAACATTCGTTGAACATTCGTCAACTGTGTGGATTCTTCAGTCGTCTCTCAGACCACTTGTGTTAGGAGGTTGGGTCTGACCCTGAAAAAGACTCCAAAGTTAGTCACTTTGTCCCTTGCTTGTAATCCCAGCCAGCTGAGAGGCTGAGGCAGGAGGATCACAAATTCGAGGCTAGCCTGGGAAAATCATCAAGAACTTGTCTCAAAATAATAAAAGGGGCCAGAGATGTAGCTCAATGCTAACAATGCAGGGCTAGCCGGACAAGGAAGGGAGGGAAAGAGAGACTCAAGGCCCAAGATAAACGCAGCTGCAGTTCCCCATGCTACCACACGGTAGCAGTACAGGCCCGGTGTTTGAAATCCTCAGGCCGGCATCTCTGTTCCCGGAGATTAGGTTTTTCTGCACTCTGGGCAAGATCATCTCATCTCCACCAACAGCCTCAGATGTCCCTCCGCCTCTCAAGACCTGCTACATAGAAGAGGGTACTGGGTGAGGCCACTGGAGAAGGCGCTGTGGCTGGAGGGGTTCAGACTGCAGACACAGAAAGGAATTCATAACTTCGAGAAACAGCCCCTCCCCACCCACCGTACTGTGACTCAGTTTCCAGTCTCTCAGCCTATGTCCCCTTGCACATAAACAGCCCTTTGTACCCATTTGACATTTGCTGGTCTGAGCAGCAGCCAGTTGGACCCCTTGGCGAGCAGCTGCAGAATTCTCAGTATGATACCTGTGTGAATGAGACAGTCAACATAGACCATGCCCTGGCCTTCCAAGCTCAGGTGAAACCTCTCACCCTGGGCAGGAGGACACTTTCCTTTATTTAGAGGCCAGACAGCCCCAACTATGATGTTTCCCCACGGCTTTCACCCACTGCAGTGTCATCTGGATGTGGCAGAAGGACAACAGGCCTGTCCTCCACCTCTCCTCCTCTACCACCCATCCTGCTCCTGTGCAAGACCAGCCAGGGCCTGAAGGGGGCCAGAAGCCTCACCTGGGAGGGCAGGAGGAGACATTGGCCACCTAGGTGTGGCTGCAGGAGGCAGCCCTTTCTCCAGTCCACCCCTGTCATTCCCATTTTTGGTGGGAAACTTTGCCAGCACCTTTTCCCTTTTCTCAGGAGTCAGGGCAAGCTGGGCAGAAGATGGCTCAACAAGACTCCAGGTCCTTTCCCAGGGAGGCCCCAAAGACTCACTCACGCAAGACCACACATTTTATTTTTCCTTCCTTTAATCTTAAGCAAAAGAGACATGGGGTTCAAAAATAAAAATTTCTTTTACCCTCCCCAATCTTTACCCAGTTCCCCCAGTGCAATCCCCTGCTTCCCCAGGGAAGCAGGAAGCAGGGCAGGGGGTGTGGGCATCTCCAGCTGGGGAGGGGGAAGGCAGGGGGTGGTGCCGAGCTCGGTGCTGGTCTCTCTCCAAATATAAATACATGTGTCGAAACTCCTAGGAAATCCTCCACACCCACCACCCAAGCACTCTGGGTTTCTGCCGGCGTTTGGAGGGGGCGGGGGTCCAGGCACCGGCTGGCTGTGGTTTACTGCACCTGCTGAGCCTGCACCCCGCCAGCTTCCTGCTGCTCATTGTAGAAGAGATGGCACTCTGGGTCCCCCCGGATGGTGGGGGCTCCCTGGATCAGCTTCCCGGTGTTGGGGTTCACACACCAGCACTCCCCACGCTGCCCGTTCAGAGACATCTTGCACTGAGGAAAGAGGACAATCTGAATTGAAGAATTCCCCATGACCACCAGCTTTCCCTCCTCTCCACAAGGGGCTGGCGGAACATACACTGAGCTCACGCTGCAAGACGGCCCTTCTCAACCTCAAGTATACACTGGGAATCTGGTTAAAAATGCAGACTCCCGTTCAGTAGGTCTGAGGTGGACCTGAACTTCTTCATGGCTAACAGGCTCCAAAGTGATGCTTATGCTCAGGTCCAGGGATAATGCCTGTCAACAAGGCTGTTGGAGATGCCCAAGACAAAAAAACGCTGCTCCCACCCTCAAGGAGATCCTATTAGCTGAGGGACCTGGTGTACTGGAGTTTAAGTCATACTGTGAGGAGAAAACCACATGTGCGAATAAAGTATGTGCCAGACACTGAGTAAGCAATATATACACCGACCATTCAGTTTATATCTAACACATATACCCACACGATTCTCACAACCACCTGTGAATTGGGTACCAATGTTATTTCCACTTTCGGGTTTGATGAAATTGAAGCCCAGTCTGGTTACGTAACTTGCCCGAGGTCGCACCAGCTAGTAAGAGGCAGAGCTGGGATCCAAATCCAGGCATTCCCATTCTAGGATTGCCTGCCCTTCTCCATAAGCTGACTAGTTATTATTGCAAATTACTTTTGTTACCCATTAAGTTACAGTAGACAGCCTGGTTTTTTCCTTTAGAAGAGATCACTATTTTTTCCGAGCTCCAAATGAAGTCAATGGATTACATTTGGAAGGTAGACATGTTTTAATGCTGATGCTCACAGGTTATCTATGGTCACCTAATATGCACCACCCCCCAAAGCTAGGTTGAAGGCTTGGTTGCTAGCTGGTGAGCTTTTTGAAATGACTGGATTATGAGGATTCTAACTTTCAATGCACTTCTGAGATCATAGTTTGTTGGCATTACTGGGAGCTGATGGAAACAGGAGGTGTAGCCAAGTTGAACAGATCATGCAGGATCATGCAGGTTGACTGGGGACTATAACTGGTCCCTGAGGCCCACTACTCTCTCTGGTCCTCCTCCTGCTCTGCTTCCTGACAACCCTGCCCCACCATGCCCTTCCATCAAGAAAGTCCACCTCACTGAAGGCCCATAGCAATGAAACCAGCCAACCAAGTACTGATTCCTCCAAAGCCATGAGACAAAATGGATCTTCCCTCCTTTAGACTGATTATCTCAGGTGTTTTTTTACAGTGACAAAAAGCTAATACAATGGGGCAAAATGTATGCAAGTGAAGGAGGTGGGAGAGTGAAACCCCCAAGGGATTAGCAGGACACTGTACCCCACCTGTTGGCTTCACACATCCATCTTTTAGGTCAATGCTAACTGCCATTAGGATCACCTGGGAGCTTCATTCATTCCTTCATTCATTCATTTTTGCAGTACTGAGAATTAAACCTGAGAATTTTACATTGAATTATATCCCCAACCCTCTTAGAAGGCAACCAAGCCTTCAACACAATGAGCCTTTTAAGGGGTGTTTCAGATCACAACCATAATGTCCTTCTGAGCATCAGTCTAACATTTAAACAGTTGGTGTGTCTACTCCCCACTTCTGAGTCTTGCTAGGTTACCCAGACTGGGCTCAAACTTGCAATCCCTTGCCTCATCTTCCCAGTATTCTGGGTTTACAGGCCACATCACATCCAGCTTCCTAGGGAGCATTTTAAGATCCTGACACCAAGAAAGAACTCCAAACCTACAAAATTCAAATCTCTACGGGTAAACCCTGGATCCACATTTTTTTAAAGCTTCCAGACAACCCCAGTGTGCAGCCAAGGCTGAGAGCCTCTGCTTGCAAACAGAGTAACATCTGGAAACCACACTCCTCTCCCTCTCCCTCCCACGAGAAATGCACAAGTGCTTCTCCCTCTATAAAAGGACAAAGCGGAGGAAGCGAGGGGTAGGGCAAGTAAAACGCGAATGATCAACTCTTGATCACTACAAGATGATGGGAAAATACTGCATCTCTAAAACGAACAGAAAGAGGAGCTAAGGGCAAAAGGCTCCTAGGGTTAAACTTCTTTAACTTTCCCCAGAACACTTAGAACCGTGTTCTGGTACCATTTTTAGAAATATTCTCAATGGTGTTTCTCCATCCCCAGGTCTCACTTCCCCTGAGGTATCTCACAGAGAGGCTACCTGGCCAATGGTTTCAACCGGTGACTCTGATGATGATGTTCTGATGGAGCTTGTCAGAAATGCAAGTTCCTGATCCCCACCTGCCACACTGAATGGCAGTCTCCGGGGGTGGGCTCAGGCAATGGCTTCAGGTGATTTAATGCTCAGCAAATGCTGAGATGCCTCGGTTATAGGCAATGGTGATGAACCTATGGCATGTATGCTGCACTGGGCTGTTTATACCACTGAAAGTTCTGGAAGGTTCGCCATCACTGTCTCGTGGGCTCTTCTCCAGGAGGCTCCCTCCCTCCCAGATACCAAGCGCCATTGACAGGTGGCTAGTGGAGTCACCCTGACCTGCCTGAGGCCAGGAAGGGAAGCCCCATTCTCACTGGCCTGGCAGCTGGCACTGCCATCCCCGTGGTTACAGAAGCCTGGTCTCTGCTCAGCTCTCAAACCTCAGAGGATTATAGGCGGGTGAGTCAGGAGCCAGGCATTCCAATTCCAGAACCTGGGGCTGAGGAGGAAGCTGCTGCAGCCCATGTTGGTACCTACACTCACCTGTTTGAGGTTGTACAGGCCATGCTTATCACAATTGGGGATGTGTAAGGAGTAGAGGTGCTCCAGAGGGCCCCGATCATCTGGAAGTCTCATGGTGGAGATCCGCTCCAGGACCTGGTCCAATTCCTGCTGGCAGGGGGTCTGTGGGAAGGGACACTTTGAGTAAGAATAAATGGCCCATAAAACACTGGCACCAGGTGCAGTTTCAGAGAGCAGCATGTCCAGGGGGAAGGGACTTTCCCAAGGCCACATGGCTAATAACTACATCCAATAACAACCAACGCTGTGACCTCTTGTATCTAACCCACCTTAATAGTTCAAAATGGGCTCTACCTGCAAATACTGAATTCACTGGTTGTCTCTAGAGTGTCTACATGGCAGAGCCCAAGCTCCATTCCCTGCTATTACCCAAACAGGGCCAAGACTCAAGAGAGCAAAGCTTATCTGGGGAAAGAAAAGGGGGTCCGGACAGCTCAGTGAAGAGAGCATATCACAAGGATGAGCTCTTCCTTCCTGGGATCCATTTTCTTTGGCTATGTCCCAAAGCCAAAAGGAAATACAGAAATTTCAGAAGACACTACATCCAGTCCACTTCACAGTCATCAGTGCTGACCAGCCTACAGGCTACTGAATATGTTGGTGGCAGCACTAGGAACACAAGTATGTTAACTATAGATTGCACATGGGCTATAGTGGGGTGCCTGTCCCAACTGTGAGATCCCCTTCCGTACCCACCTACAACCAGATCTGACCCCACTAACCCTGGCAGGTGGTGGCCGCAGCTTCTTGGGCTCTTCCAGGCCGAGGTGGTGTTTTCCACCTTTGCCCATCTGCCGGTGCTGCTCGGTGACTTTCTCCCGGAAGACAGCCAGCTCCTTCATGCCTGACTTGAGTGGTTTCCGGCCAGCACTGCCTCCACCTCCCAACATGTTCATGGTTCCATCTACATGGTTCTCGCCCAGGCTTCCCTCAGAGTGCTCATCACCATTGTCTAAATAAAGAGGAAAGAAGAGCTTCAGCCCTGTTCCCCGGGAGACAGGCTCACTGGGACTCCTGATGCTGGGGAGGATGGAGAAAAGTAAGGACAAGGATGAGGTGACAAGCATCTAATGAGTGCCCACCGTGAGCCAGGGCCCACACTCAACAATTTACACAGATTATCCATTGCAGTTTCACAGGAGATCTTAAGTGAGAACTTCTGGCACCCTCACCCAACTTTTCCAGACAGAGAAGAGAAGGGTCACAGGGGCCAATCACTTGGTCAAATACCAAGCCTATAACGCCAGACAGAGCAGAGGAGCACAGAAGGCTGAATGCCTCTACAAGGCCCTCAATGTGGGATGGGATTAGGACCTTTCTGGAGTCCATCAGTACCTCCCAGGTTCAGCCACACAAGCCAAATTCAATTTCTTCATCATTTATGGCCTAAAAGGTATAGACTAGATTTTGGGTTTGCTTGTTTTAGTGCCACAAAGATTACCGAGCCATGACATGCCTGGCAGGGGAAGGTAAGACAGAAAGCCTCACTGCCAGCCAGGGCTGGTCTGCAGTACTCCACTCATTCACTCTTTATTTGCCAATCTGCCCATGCCAAGAAGTTCCCATAGTGCTTTGGTCCTGGGCTGCTAGATCACTACTCTACTGGCTCTTCCATGTTCAAATCTATAGTACCTGTGCATCATGGATCCCCATCCCCACTACACTCTGAGTCTTAAGTACTTCATAGCCCAGGGCATGAATCTTCATCAAGATGTCTGTCTGAGAAGCATCACATCTCTTTAGACCTTCTTAAACCTAGTGTGTGCCCAGCCCTGGTAGAGGGGACCTTGAGAGAGCCCCCAGATACCACAGTCCCTTCCTGACTGAGACATGTCCAGCTGGGACACAGTAAGAAGAATGGCATATGATCAAGTTGTAACCAGAGGGACAAGTCGCATTGTGCTCTATAAGAGCAAGGAGTCGAAGAGCACAGGCCAGCCCCTTGTAGATGTGAGCAGAGCAGAGTGAACAGAGCCTCACACTCCACTGCCCCAAACCACCAAACTACAGCAGATTCCAACACAGTCTAGGTGGATGCAAAGGGGATGTTTTTCATCAAATCATGCATTTTCTCTTCCACTTTATTGCACCTTCAAAAACTTAACAGTCCCAATCACAACACAGAATGGCTTTTAAAGTACATCTACACATGGGCTTAAGCCAAAGCACCCAGTACACGGTGGTCCCTTCTGAACTCAGGTAATGGTGGTAGACTCCACTGTCCCTCTCCTGAGCAGTGTTACATGGTGAAAAAGGTCAGCACTTACTATATAAGGAGAGCTGCAGTGTTTCAAGTTGTGAACTATGTACCATTTGGCTAAGAGACAGGGGTACCTCTTACATGCCATATGTAGCATTATTCAACAAAGATTGTCCCTTGCAACTAAGTTTGACACCTGGTTGGTTCTCACGGGCACTCAGGGCATCATTGCTGGCTGAAGGATGCATACTCAGGTTAAATCCCAACTCTGCCACTTTCTCTAGAAGTTGAGTTTCCCTGCAAATCACCTCTCTGTGCCCCTGCTTTACTCACCGGAAATGGTTGCACAGTAACAGTTCCTTCTTCACACAACTACTGAGGGAATACTGTAGGTGAAGCACTTAAAATACAACTTGGAGGGCCTGGGATTTAGCTCAGTGGCACTGCACCCGCCTCGCAAGCATAAGTTTGATCCCCGGTACTGAGAAAAAAGTAAAATACAACTTGGTACAGAAACTCTCTATCCATGCTGTTGGCGATGATCATTTTGATGATGACGATGATTGCCCATTATCTGCCCCCTCAGCAATGTAGAACCTGACTAGCAACCAGGAAGCAAAGGAAAACAAGACCTTGAGCATCAAAATGGCCGCGACTGCATCTTTTTCTAGTGAAGATCAGGGAAGAACCTTGATGGCTCACAACACTGTTGTGCCGGTAAACCTGGTTTCAGGATGTCTGGCATCCAAGGTCATCACAGAATAAAATCAAATCATCAAAAGTAAAGGAAGAAGAAACATACAGGGATAAGAACTATCAAAGGAAAGGGGGAAAGAGGGGCATTAAAAAAAAAAACATAAGAACTCTAGGGACATTTTGTGCATGGCAAATCATTCCACACCCATCCAGGACCCATCCATGTTTTACAGCCCAAAGCAAGAATTATATTAAATTGATGATGACCTCGAGACATCACAAAGGGGGCAAGGTCAAGAATTCAGCATGAAAAAATATTTCTATCCAAAATTGTTAAAATTTAGAGAAGCGGAACTTGAAACATATAAACCTGAAAAATTCTCCTATCTGGAATGGCTATTTCCCCAGGGCTGCTGGGTACCCTGAATTTCACCATAAACCAAGCAAGATTAAATCCCATTTTAGCTGCCCCAGGAAACACCCACAGAGAAGTCTAAGGTCTCAGTGACTGCATCCTAACTGGGTGGGGACCTGTCTCACCAATACTCAGACCCAATACTCTCCTCCCCCATACTGCTCCCCCATTCTTTGAGATGAGAAGCAGCAGAAATTCAAACTCCAGGAGTAGGTTTAGTTTCCCTGCTCACCAGCCACTAGTTTCCCCAGAATGGGACACCAAGTCACTTCGTCATGCTAACACTTTTCTCTGTACCACTGGCTCCCTGAAGGGTCACCAGTGGGATCAACCACGAAGATCACCCCTGCCCTCTTCGGATAGTTAAGGGAGACAGACCCAAGAATGTCTGAGATGGGTCAAACCTAGAAATGAAGCAGGAGTTACAGTACCATGCAGATGCTGGCCTGGGGTGAGGGGACTCACCCCCATTCACACACCCCCCCATCTGCTGTAATTCCAGACCTGCTTCTCTGCACCTAGACTTGGGTGGCAAATTCCCTGCCTCTTCCACACAGAAGAAAACAGGTGGCTCATGAAAGCCCCAGCCACACTGGACCTTCCCAACCATCCTGGACCAAAGTGAAAAGGACAAAATAGGAACTTTGACTTGCCCTTGCCCAAGTGTTTTGTCCTCAAGATCTCCCTTAGCTTCATCCCTCGCCTGCTCACACAGCCCTGCCCAGCTGGCTTCCTACCAACAGAGGCAGGAAGAATTTCTGGAGACCTCCACTCCACTTCCAGACTGGAGACTGTGTTCTGCTCACATGGTAAAGATGAGAACTCTGTGGAATCTGCTGGTGCAACACCACACCAGTTCTAGAACCTTCCACTCTGCAGGCAGGGAGCCTGTGACTCTCAGAAGCTGACTCCAACCTTTTTTGGGAAGAAGCTGTCTACCCATTCCAAGGTTTGAGTTAAGATGGTCAGTCTCTACAATGGCTATAATTACATGTACCCTAATTGAAGCAGCAAAGGTAGCTCATGGTTAGAATCACCTCAGAGCTTCCAGGAAGGATCCATCCACCCCAACCTGGTCCCTGAAACATCCTTTGGAATCAAGGTTTCTCAACCACAACACAACAGCTGGACCAGATAATGCTTTGTCACAGTGGGCTGTCCTGTGCATTATAGGGCACTGAACAGCACCCCTGGCCTCTACCACCTAATACCAGTAGCACCCTCCTGCAGTGGACAATGCAAACTGTCCTCACTGCCAAATGTGCCTGAGAGGCAAAATCGGGCTTAGACAGAATCTCTATTCTGGAGTCAGTGGTTATCCAAAGGGCTGGCACTTTCAGAGCCATAGCTAATGTGGCAGTAAGACTCTACAAAAAGCTGATCCAGCTCTACTATATTCTTCTGCAGTAGCCAAGATCCTCCAGGACCCTCCATCCTCAGGTGCACCAGTCCACAGCTCCTTAAGGTGTAGGGTATAGGGGTCACACCTGGGCATGGCAGAGCAGTCTGCTCTCCACACTTCCCTAAGCTCTCCCAGGTAGCATCCCCTGACTGAGTTCTCAAAGTCACCCCAACATTCAATGCTCCAAAGATCCTCTTCCAACTCTGGAAACATATTTGAGGAGAGAGAGAGGGCACAAAGAAGGGTATGTGCACTCAGGTCTGAGGCTGCAAGAAGAGCCAATCTGCCCACGACACAGCAGGTACAGGGCTGAGGGGCCTAGGTAATGTTTTAATGTATTTTAAAATCAAAACAGTAACAAACTTTGTTAAAAAGTAAGAATGTATAATACTGATATACTTTCATTCATAAAACCATGTGATTTTAAGTGGATAATGTGACTTTAAAATAGTTTCATGGAAGGAGTCCCCAAAAATGTCTAGGGCCCATGAAGGTCATAATGGGATCCCGGTCCCAGGTTGCAGGAGGCAGGGGGTGAATGGACAGTTTTCTCTTAGAAGTACAGGGTTGGCTTTCTGTCCTGAGATGTCCCCGACTTCTCTGAGGTGAAGGTCATCTTGTCCACCCCCACAGAGACCACCTGGATTCGAGGGTATGTTTCGTTCCATTCCTTTATCGATCTCACCACCAACAACAAACATGTCAACGTGATGAGGAAATCAATGGGCTGGTTTGCTGACGCAGGATCTTTTAGAAGCCAAGCAGCATCCGTTTCTCTCTGGAACAGGCTTTGGAACCCAAGTCCAGTGGCTGTCACGTCTAGAAGCCAAAGCCCAAGGAAGAGAAATTTTGACTGAGTAGAAATAAGAAAGAATTGTAGGCTGAGTAAAGTATCCATGCTGTGTTACTGTTCTGGGCTAGAGGTTCAAGGATGCAGGCCCCAAGTCTAATTGCCTAAGTCTGAATTCTAGCTTTTTTAGTTGGATTTGCAACCCTAGGTAAGCTAGTTGATCGCTCATCTGTATAAAGAGGACAAATAGCATCCATCTCCAGTGGGCTGCTGGGAAAATCCCAAAAGATGTTGCCTGCACAGGTAGTGAATGCCTGAGACTATAGGAACACCTGGTGTTACTCTTAGCTGCTTCTCACCCACCCACACTGCCTTGCACCTCACAATTTACCGAGTTCCTCCCATACATTCTCCAAGAGGCAATAGGAGCGATCTTCAAAAAAACATTC